TTGGGAAAAAAAGCAGACCCTAATCAGAAATTTACTTTTCCAGTGGTGTTTCATTCCTTATAGCACTATTCAATGCACATGTTAGCCTATCTCTAATATTTCTTTTGCTGAGTATTTTGCAGCTGTGTTAAAATTATCAGTTTGTGTGGTTTGAGTCTGTTTCTGTGAAACAGGCAGAATTAGAGAGCAAAAGAATCCATTAATGTTAGATTTGAATGAAGAAGACGGTAATTGTTTTGGATTTAATGTCTTCTACAGTGCCAGTGTAAATATAAAAACAGAATAGAGAAATGGTATATATACAGAACACATATTGAAAACTCAAATTATCAAGAAAGGAGCATGGAAGGGTGCTAGATATATATTTCATAATGTTTTGTTGGATAATAGTCCTACAAAGGTAAATAGGACTTAAACTTGCATCTTGTTAAGAGATAAAGGCCAAAACTGTCAACATAATAGGCCAGCTCCTAGAGATGTGATTATTATATAGAGGAGTCCTAGGCAGAAGCCTTACTCTGGTGGTCTAAACAGACCAGATTTAGCTATCTGCCACCAAGAGTCCAGGTGGAGACAAGGGGAGGTGAAACAAGAAGGGAATTTACTGTTCAGGGATACCACACTGGGAAGAAGTGGGGGCCAGAATTCTAAGTCCTGTCTTTGAGTTACTGACAAGACCTTCAGGGGTGTATAGCAGAAGGGCAACAGTGGAGGTTGAGGCAGGAAATATGCAGAGTCAAACAATCTTAGTCAAATTGTGATCTGGCTTATCATTATCTCTAGTTCAGGTCTTCAAGGTTCTGCTGGCTCTAGGGATATTTCTATTGCTTGAAGTGTAGATTCCATTTCTATCATGAGATGATTGCTGCAGCTTTGGGGGGAACCTAGGTTGCTATCATAGGGTGATCTCCAGCAAGACTCATTGTCCCGCAATCTTGAAAACATCTTAATTATTCTTGGCATTAGTAACTTTTCCATCACTAGGATGGAATACCTGACACCTGTAACTTAAAGAGAAGCTTATTTGGTTCATTTCTTCGGGGAGTTCAGTTCATGGGTGATTGGCCTGAAGGTAGAAATAGTGCAGTAGAAGGGCTTAGCAGAGGAAGGCTGTTCAACTTGTGGCACAGAGGAAAGAGAGGCGGGGGTGGAGGGAGAGAGCAGGGATGAGCTGAAGACAAGCCTATACCTACCCTTCCAGATCACACTGCAGTGAACTGCTTTTCCAACTCCCACTTTCTCACAGCACCTTCAGTTATGAAAGTCACCAATGGGTTAGTGCACTGATGAGTACAGTGCCCCCATGATCCAAGCACCTTTCAAAAGCTCCACCTCTGACATTTTTATGTAAATAGTAATACTCTTACCTTGGTGTGTTCAACTTTGAAGTGGGGATGAGAAATGTTAGACACATTTATGGCTAACAATTTCAAATAATTAACATGTCTACACATGGAGTTGAGCAGGAATCTGACCCAAAGTTTAAGGTAGCAACAGAATCAGCTGCAGAGCCAGTGAACAGCCTGTAGTTTTAGCAAAAGTAGGCTTTAAATCCCTGTTTCATGACCAGCATGACTTTCTACAATCCCCCAACCTGTTCCCTGAAATCTAGCCACACTAGGCTTTTTGATTCTCCTTTGCTTTATCTGTGCTGTTCTTTGAGTAGTCTGGTCCTCATGGCAACATCTCACCCTCTTTTCAGAGTCAAATTCAACATCAAACATGGTATGAATTCCTTCTTCTAACACCATAAAAAGTAGAGCTAATGCTCTTTTGACGATGATCCCATAGCAATTAGTTTGTACTAGTACAGCTCACACCTAATTATCTACATGTCTGTCTTCTGGGCTTCGATGTGCTTCTTGTAGCAATGGCCTTGAGTCAGTCCAGTCAGCACACTGTCTTACAAATAAACACTGAAGTGTTCAATTCTATGAGAGGAAAATAACAAGCACATAAAGTGTTCAAGCCATTTGTCTATTTGTATAAATGTAGTAGTGTTTTCTCAAGGCAAAAATTCAACTGATTTTGTGCTTTTAGAGTTCTGCTATACTACTTCCTAAGCCTCAGTGAACATAGCTTGGAAGCAGCAAGGAGAAGAAAGGAGAGAGAGCAGAAAGGTTCTGGAATTAGAACCTGGATTTAGTCTACACTAGTTCTATGAATTTGAATAAGTCACAAAATCTTTACTAGACTTACCTACATTGCCCATCTCCCTACTTGGATTACCTTTAAGATTATCTGAAATAATCTTAAAATATAAATGAAACAAGCTGAGAACATTAATTAAAAAGCTCCTGAAATGTCAGTTTTGCTATCATGGTGATTTTTGTATGAATATGTCAATATCCTGGGAACAAGGTACAAAATTTCATCTTACTTATTTCTAAGGCTTCTTATTTCTAACAGCATTGTCAGGTGTCCTATATATATACACATATATACACACACACCCAAATGACTTTTGGGGCTAAGATTGTCTAGTTTACTAACTTTTACAATATCCTGGGAACAAGGTACAAAATTTCATCTTACTTATTTCTAAGGCTTCTTATTTCTAACAGCATTGTCAGGTGTCCTTGCTTACTATACACATGTAGCAGGAGTTATATTTTGGATGCTAATCTGTTTTATTCCTGGTATTTTTCTATTTTCTCTTTGCATTCCAGCAGTTGCTGGTTGTATATATATTGACTCAGGGTAGCACATGGCAGGGTGATAAAGACAGGTGTTTAAGGTTTTCTGGCTTTTAATTCCAGATGAGGACTACTAGGCATAAGGCAGAAATAGTGAAGAAATAGTGAAGCTACTCTTCCAAACTCAAGAAATTTTCTTGGGACAGGGAAAGGAGATGAGGTGAAGAGAAAAAGAAATCCAAAGATTTCAAAAACAGCACTCTGCTTCCCAAGGAGTACTGTTAAGAAGGATGGCATGATCCAATAAAAAAATGTGTTGGGTATTTGAAGATGTTACTTCTCCAGTCAACAAAGATGCTAATAATCTGTATAATGGGATCTTAAGATGCACATCACCAAGCAATGCAATTTTGGGAAATATAAGAAATAACACATATGAATTGCTGGCATTAACTAGGTGTCGCGAGCCGGCGACATAGAGCACTGTCCAGCAGTGTCTCAAACCTGAAAGAGCAGCGGGGTGGAGATGGGGCAGAGAGAAAGGAAGGACGCCAAGACAAGAGTCTGATCAAGGTGATGTTTATTGCAGGCAAGCATCAGCTTTTTAAAGGTACATCAACAGGAAGCACCTGACTCCCACAGATAACGTCAGATCTTTAACAGGAAGCACCTGACTCCTACAGATAACATCAGATCTTTGGCTGAGTTTCTCCCATGCAGGGTCAAAAACAAGTTTAACACGTGCAGTCCTTAAAAAGGAACAAATGTTAAAACATGCTAATTAGGAACATCCTGACCACACATTGTGTCAATGCCTTGATTATAAAGAAAGAAGTTATCTTTCAAATGTCGAATGCCAGTGGGCCATGACTGGCTCCCACAAACCATGTTTCCCACAACTAGGGACTCAGTAAATGTTATATTCCCACTGTATTGACAGCTTGGCTCTGACTATCATCCTATTCCATCACTGGATCACCCCAATGCTCCATTTACCTTGTTCTTCCTCTAGACTGCTGAATGGTACTAAAGCCGGGAAAAAAAGTAAAGCCGTGGCAGACAAGAACGCACCCAGGGTCACCATGGCCTCTTCCTCCTCCTCCTCCTCCTCCTGCCCTGCTTTTCTACTCTTTTACCAGCCTCTTCCTCTTCCTCTTCTTCTTCTCCTCCTCCTCTTATTCTTTTATAAACTTCATTTTGTTACTAATGAAAATCCCAACTTTTTCTCATCCGTCCTACAGAAAGAATCTTCTTCAGCAAAGCAGAGCCTGTTTAGGTGACTCACAGCAACCCCTTTGTCCATGAATCTTCCTGGCAAGATTATGCTAGGATAGGAAAAGGATGGAGCTTTCCATACAAAACACTATCTCTTTCCCTAGTAGAAGAATTCTGTGGTTGTGAAGTGCTATTAAAAATTTTCCCTTTGAAGAAAAGTTCTCCCTCCCCTCACAATTTCAGGGATGAAAGAATGTCTTAAAGAACTGAAGTGTTCTCTTTGATTTTCTATGCCCCGGAGAAAAATAGCTATTATAGCCTCAGAACATGCCTACGGAGAAAAACAGGCAGATAATTGAGTTACCCACAGACATGAAATTTATGACACCCTGTGGCATCTGTGAGTCCCAGATGCATCCTCCTGGCCCTTTGCTTCTCTTGACACCTTTAGAAACACTGTGGAATTGCTTACAGGCTTTGTTGTTTGCTAAGATGCAAGAACCAAACCTGGTTTTCCTTTTCAGCTAATCAAAATTGCCAGAAAAAACTCAGTTATCTGATGAGCTGCTCCAGAACTGATAAGTTTCTCCTTGTGGAGCTCGGTTTCTAAACTCAGACATGTGAGGCAGTCTTTCATTGGAACATATCTGATAGTACCATATAGTTGTATATATAATTGGGTTTTCCTATGCTCTTTCCAGGAAGAGAGGCCTACAATTTTGCAAAAATGTCAATTTTTGACATCTATTGTAGTGTGTCATCCTTGGTAAATGTTATTGTTTGTTCTCAGCAGTGATCAGAATCCTTAGATAATTAGAAATTGCACAGATAAGTAGTTGTAACTATAGGAAGATCAATTTAAGAACCATTAGACATAATTTGGAAAGTCAGACATAGGTAGAATACTATACTGGGGTCTTGATTTTCAGGTGGTGGCCGATGTGTGGGCAGCTGAAAGTTCAATTACCTTTACCTTCTTTATATTTTGGTCTCCAATGCTATGGATAGGAAATGATTGTGGCTCTGGATCCTCTCAGAGCACGTAGTTGCTCCAGGATTGGTCCAATCTGTGTCTCTGTTTACCTTTTTTTAACCTCGATGATATGATTTACTTTAAGTTGCATTACTTTTTTTTTATATGCCTTACAGATTCATGAAGGTGGCAGGAAGCACAGTGGATGCAGTTACCTGGCAACAGTAGGTATTCATCATTTTTATTCCTACTTATTGTCATTTGCTGTGAAATTAAAGATAATTAGTTGTGATCACATTCATGATTGACATTTAATAAGTTACCCTTTATTTGTTGAGAAAAATTGAAGATTGAAAGTTTTCTTAGCACATACTATTTCATAGCACTATAATTTTGTTTTGTTGTTTTTAAAACACAAAAAAAAGACATAATGAAAAACAAAAAAAACTGATACATTTTGGAGAGCTCAACTATTACGTACACTTTTAATCTGTCATGAATGAAAGATAATAGTGATTTAAACATGTCACCATTTCTCCATGGCCTTTTCTTTTGGGAATAAACTTCTTTCTTTAAGAGAGTAGTTCTAATTGTTTGATGTATCATGTGGAAATAGAAACACTTCATTAGATTAACAAGTGATGTTAATTAGTGCCAAGCAATTCATTAATATGAAGCAGGTTTTTTAAAAGGAAGAAAAGTATCAAGATAATTAAGCAGTTTCAGGAAAGGAGAAAAACCCTAGCACTCCAGCCAAAAGCTTATAGTGGCAAAGACCTATTACCCCCAAGGGTAGCTTGGCCTGTAAAAGTACTTATCTGATATATAAATTTAAATATTCTTTGCATATCTTTATGGACTGTGAGCCAGAATATCTAGCATTGTGCCACAATATCTCACCTATTTTATACTGAAATCTTGATCTCCAAGAAATCTCTCCCACAACATCTCGGTCATCTCCCATTGCATCTGGTACTCACAAGTCAGACATTTGTGCTCTCATTCCAAACTCAGCGAGCCCTGACTATGGCCAACTTTCTCAGTTACCCTAAACTATCCCACCTCATTCATGTACTCTTCTCTGTTCTATGCTTTTAGTGGGTCACTTTACCCATTGCAGATTGAGGACAGGTGTGAAAGAAAGAAATGAATGGAATCTTTATTAACTCTTATCAAGTGGATTTTTTGGTTTGTGGGTAATCAACAACTTCGGTCACAGCAGGGAATAGTTTATTTGGGGGGTTGTTTCTTTTCGCTTTTTGTTTGTTCTTTGAAACAGGGTCTTGCTAATAGTTCAAGCTGGCCTTGAACTCACTATATAGCCCAATTTGGCCTTAAATTCGTGGTGATCCTCCTGCCTCAGCCTCCTGGGTGTTGGAATTGTATGAGCAAGCCACCGCACCTAGCTATTTGAGTTTATATTTATATTATTGGTTTATTAAACAATTTTCAAATATTTTCAGAAATTCTTATCCTTCTTCAATTTGCTTTTGTAAATTAAGGATTAAGTCTGAGGAGCTTGTCATTTTCTTGCTTAAAAGCCCACAATGTCTTCTTCTCTGCACTTAGAATAAAAGCCAAACTCTTTCCCCAGGGTTTGGCCTCTGCTGCCTTCTGATCTTTGCTTTCACTCTTCCTAATGGTATATCCCAGAACTTTGGTGAGTTTTCAGTTTTTTGAAAGTTTACACGGGTGTCAGCCTCAAGATCTTTTTATATGCTATTCCTTCTGCCTGAAATGTTCACTCTGTGTGCTAGGTCCTTCTCACCTTTTAAATCTCACCTTACCCTTCATCTCTTCAGAAATCCCTTCCCTATGGATCATCATTTTTTCTTAGTTCTTTGATTTTCTTCTATAAGACTTATAATAACTTACAATTATTTTTATAACTTGTCTTTTTAAATTTATTTTTCTCTTCCAGAAGAGTGATATTATGCAAGTGCTTCTTCAGTCAGTTGTTTATTAGGCCCTTAAAATGGGGGAAATAACAATGACAGTAAAACTAATAATGTACCAAGAATCATTCTGGAATTTTATATGCCTTATCATATTGTTCTATGCAACAACTGAGGTGGGGTAGATTTAATCCTTTTTTGTATAATTTAGAGGAAGGTATAGAAAAATCCAAAGACTACAAAGAAATGGTAAATTTGAAAATTGGTCCATTTCAATGCAAGGCCTATTGTGTTAATTCTTACTGCTTTGATGACAAGACAATGTCCCTTTACTGAAATTCTGTTCAGTATCAACAAAGACTTATCGGGATGATAATGTATAAAGCTCGAAGCTTGAAGACTATATAGAATTTGTAGAAGAGATAATAAGATCAGAGTAAGAAAATCGCTGGCTAAGAACATATGGCTTCAGTTACCATGGCCAACAGTGAGGAATTAGAAAAAGTTTCTTCTCTATTCAGAAACCTTCCCTGGCACAAATAGAATGTAGGAGGAATAGTATATTTTGATAATGGATGAATACATTTTAATCAGTAATTTTATTTATTTGCTACTGAAAAACATTGATCATGTGTCAAGATAATCACACATTTGCAACTTATGCCAGCCTTCTCCCACAGTGACCCCCTGCCAAGCAGAGGGTTGTGTTTCTTTTGCTTGCAGGATCAGCACATTTGGGGACAATAAATAGCACCTAGAAAAATACCACTATCCCCACTCAGCCATATTTTTCAGTCAAGATTTAGTCATGTGAGAATCCCAGGAAATACTTGCCCAGAGGACTACAGATAGGCTGAAAATTAAAACCCAGTGCCACGTTTCTCCAACCCAAAAAAATGCCGAGGCAAAGAATTCTTAATAACACAAAGAACATAAAGTATAATTGTCAGAAAGAAAAGGGTAGGAGAAACTAACAGAGTTTGTGATCTGTCAAATGATAAATTGATCTATTGATGGCCAAAAGCATCAATTCATTATTAAGATTTTGAGCTTCAAGATTGAACAACCTGAACTCTGACTCTGAAGTCATGAATGAACAGATATCTGTGACTAGACTATTTGATATAAAAGCTCATGCTCTTGCACTTGATATATTTTGAGAACCAACAAATTTGACTTAATCATCAGTCCTGCCCACTAACCCATGTTGAAAACTCAGCATGAATTAATGAGATGAAGCTTTAATTACAAGTATAGTGGAGTAATTTATATCAGAATTATCCTGTAGATGGCAATGATAAAATCTGGGTATATATATTTAAAACAAAATTAAAACACTGAAGAGTATTTTAAAACACTGAAAGGAGGCAAAAACTATTAAAAGGCAGGGTTAGGGATTTAGCTCAGTAGTTCTGCTGTCTGCTTTTGATCCCCAGTACCAAACAAACAAACAAACAAACAAAAAATTATTTCCAAGAAATTCAATCCTTGAAAGAAATACAAGGTTGAGAGTTACTTTTATGAATTTTTCACTATGTTTACTTAACAATTCTTGCACTTTGAGTTACATAGAAATCAAACAGTTGAATTTGGTTAAGTTGACAAAAGTCAGTGGCTGAAACTTCAGGATGGAAATCTTAGAACTATAAAGGAGAAATACCAAATATGCATGTAAACTTCCTGAAATCTCTGCCTGAACCCTGAAATTCACATATTCAGGGGAGGCCTCAGAGAGCCTGGTAGAAAGCAATAGTTGGAAGCCTGAAAAAGTTGAATAGAGATTTTAGATGCTGTCTGTCACAAGACAATTTGAATCTCACAAAGTTGGAAGGATTTGACAAACACCTTGTGCTTTCCAGTGAAACCTGAAAGAATTATACTGTAGAAATCCCTGGACTAAGAATTTTCCCTAACACTAAATAAAGTATGCCAAAACAGACTTGCCCAATTTGTGAACTGATGCTTCCCCCAGGATAAAATGATCAGTCATTCCTTTAGCTTCCTAATAAAAACACTCTTCTGTCCCTACAGTATATTATTCACACTTTCTAGTACACAATTTTTAAAAAAATTAGTAGATGTGTGAAGATATAGAAATATGCAACCCATGGCCAAGAGAATAAGTAATAAATAGAAACCCTGAGATAATACAGATGTTAGAATTAGCTGACAAAAAATTTAAAGAAACTATTGTAAATAATCAGAGACTTAAAGGGAATATGTCCATATTGACCAATTGATATTTCACATATATAACTGATATTTCCTATATATATTATAATATATATAGCAGTGAAACGGATACTATAAAATATCCTCTAGTGACCACTACTCTATTTTCTACTTTTATCATATCAACTTTTTTTAGTTTCCACATATGAGTGGGATTATGCAGTATTTTGTTTTTTTGTGTTTTTCTGTCCTCCAGGCTTATCCATGCTGCTTCAATTGTCAGGATTTTATGGCCGAATATAAATAGAAAAGGGTATATTTTATTTTTGGTCTAATACAGATGTAAAGATATAGACAAAATACCACAAAGGATGAGGAAGAGAAGAGGCAGTAAGGAGAATTACACTGTTGCAATGTTCCTTTACAGGAAGTTCTAAAACATTTAAGAAGATTGTGATAACAGTGAAAATTGCATTCCTACAGGTATCACTTTAAAATACTGGCAAAAATTATCTTAAAAGACTCATGTTTGAATTAGAATACTAAGAAATAGTGAATTAACTTTATAAAAAGCAGGAAAGGAAGATCAGGTGAACAAAAATATATGAAAATAAGTAAGTGAGGAAAATGGAAATCAAATACTAAAACAGTAGTCCTAGCCACAGCCACATGCTTTCATTAAAGGGCAAAGATTATCAGGTTTGCTGGGCATGGTGGCGCACGCCTGTAATCCCAGCACTCGGGAGGCTGAGGCAGGAGGTTCACTGTGAGTTTGAGACCAACCTGGGCTACACAGCGAATTCCAGGGCAGTCTGAAAAAAAAAAAAAAAAAAAAAAAAAAAAAAAAGATTATCAGGTCGAATGGCATGGAAGACCCAACTATATTCTGCCTATAAAAGATACATATTAAAAACACAGATAAATTGAATATAAAAAGGAGAGAATAATATGCCATACAAGCATAAGCATCCAGTGAAGCTATATTAATAGTAGACACATTAAACATCAAAAAGGAGTATTTCCAATGAAAAAGATTATTCATAATAATAGAAGGTTTAGTTCATCAAGAACACATCACAATAAATAAATGCACATGTGTTAGGCAGACTGATGCTTGCTCCCCTAAAATTTCTGCACCCTAATATCCAGGACCTATA